CGCCATTATTCTATGGCTAGAAATTGGCCTCAATGATTTGGGATCGAGGGGGATTATCCCTCTTTATCCTGCCTCATCTCGTGTAGGCCTGGACAGCCTTCGTAGGTGGGCCCCATCCGTCGTCTACCCCGACCGCAAATGCGGCCGGTGTAGGCGCTTTGTGGGATCTCCTTTTGTCCTGGCTGGGCCCCGCCGGCTAGGGCCCTTATATCGATGATTGAAGACAAAAGGATCGTTTTCCATTAAAAGTCCGATATTTCGATGAAAAATGATTATATCGAAATTTTAAAAAAAGATAATTGAAGCTGAATAAACAAGCTGAACAATAAACATCTGGTCCACGTAATGGCTTAGCTGAAAAAAAAAAATGTCCAAATCCATGAATTTCGACCGAAAGATCTAAAAACTAGAATGTTAAAGCTTCAAAATCCTTTTTTTTAATTCCCGATACTACCATTTTTCACCTAAATACAGTCTCAAAAATCACGGAAAAATTTCGGAAATTCTTGACCCTTTAATTTTTTGCAATACTTTACATGCAAAGATAAGTTTGTGTTGTGATTTTTAGTTTTATAAGTATTAATGCAAGATTAACAATGTTTGAGTGAACGAAACGTCGACTTTACGTAAATTTAGCTTTTCAGAAACACCTTCTTGGTTATAAGAGCTATTATCTAAATTTACTAACTCATCATTCATATTAGAAATGCCAAATATATTTCAGAATTTATCAACAGTACCAAAAAAGTATTTTCAGACAAAATAACCATTGGGTTCGTCGAAAAGCAACAACTGCCTGCAGTCAGTTTTATGTTTTCTGAAACGTGAATGATATTTTCCGAAAAAAATATGTACATTTGATAAAAATTTAAGATAAAAATAATGTATAACTGTTTGAAAGTATTTTTTCTGGCATTTCTTAAACTGTTTTTCTTTATTTCGGGGTTTTGCCAAACTATAAAAAATAAATTAAATAATAGTACAGTGGTCACAAGGATCAGTCTTGAACGTTTGGAAAACTCGCAATGAAACACATAAATATTTGCACATTTTTAGCGATTTTTTTTATATATCCTTCCAAAATAATTACTCCTATATAGTTTTTGGCATCCGTATGTGTCATAGGAATAATAAACCACGAAAAAAACCGACATTTTCATCTCTTGTTGCAAAACATATACTACATATTCATGTACTGTTGTTTATATTCGTAAAAAGTTATTCTTTCTTTTCTAAAACAATACCAGTTGCGTCAAAATGTTACACTGTACACTAACTACCTCCTAGAATTCCGCTTACATTGAAAATTGTGAATGAAAATCAAGTCTCTTAGAAACAGCTCGACTTTATTTGGCAAATAATAAACAGTCGAGTGTAATTTCCTGAAACTTCGGCTCGCAGCACACCGTAGGAAAGCCGTATTCGTAAAAAGTTGCTACACTACACCTCCTTAATGGTCGTTTCCTGGTTTTTCCTCAGGGCCGAACGCGTGGCACGCTACAAGGAAGAGCGCAGGCGCCAACTGGCCGCGCAGTACGGCACCCACGAGGACACCCCCATAGCCACCAGGACGCGCAGCAAGGACACCGCGTCCAGCAGCTCCGAGGGGCCGCGGCCCACCAGGGCGTCAAAGCTCAGGGCGGCCGCCCTCTCGGGGCAGGACGTCGCCCCCCAGGGCCGGGGGTTGAAGGTCAGCAATTCGGAGGTGAGTTTTTAACTTTCAGTGAACCCTAAATATAAACCGAAGCAAAGCACTAATATCCCAAAATATTTCACATAAATTTTGAAATTGCATGTAGCCAATAAAATGAAACACCCAGTAGATGTTAGAGAAACGAAAAATTATGTCAAGTTAAGAGAAGTATTTTAAAATTTAAACATTTTCGTTTCGACAAGTTTACCTTTTGCATAGCTATGTAGTATGTGAATTTTCAAGTAGATGGAAGCTATGGAAGGCGCAATAATTATTTTCATAAAAAGCAACTTTCTCGTGCCCTAGTACTTCGTAGTTTGTCGAAAGTGAGATGAATTTTAAGAAACGACGTTTCATTTTTCGAATTATCGATGTTTGTTGTTTTAAGCAAGCAATTTATTTTACAATACATTGCACAATGACAGTAAAATTAATTGCCGTATGTGTAAAACAGACAATGTGCTGAAATTAATTGGTTGCTGTAATTAAATACTCGTAGGATCGGAATATTCTCGCGTAACAATGGGTAATAATTCGTTACTTGTCTTTTGATGAATGTGTGTGTATCTACGTTTTTTGGTTTCGGCTACATGTGCAGATATTATAGAATTTGATGTAGATATCTACGACTGGACAAGTTTTATTTAAGCCCTGAAATAAGCAAATCACAAGAAAAGTGTAGGTACTTGTGTAGAATGAAAAGGAAATATGTACAAATACATTTATAAATTATAATATTCTCGGAACGTTTTTTTATATTCGCGCTGTATGTATGATTATCATTAATTTTGACTTTTACTTCTCTTGCATCAATTCCTAATAATACCAAGTGTATATAAAAAACATTTCAGATTCTATTTTTACAATATGATGTACCCCTAGCGCATTCACCATTTTATAGAAATTCATAGACGTTAGAATCGTTTATGTCAGTACAATTTTAGGAGTAATTATTTAAAAAACCTATAATTCCTATTGTTTTTAACAGTTACTTAATCGTTTTGAATTCATATACACTAGTCTAAAAAATTGAGGGGCATTTAAAAAATCTAAAATTTTTGGGCGATTTTCAAAGAGAGAGATACTTAGAAAATAAAAAAAATTGAAGCTTCATGTTCCTAGTTCTCGGATTTGGAAATTAAAACTTTTTTGCGCCAGCTGTTTTTGAGTAATCATAAGATATATATAAAACTGAAAAATTACTCGTTACATTGATTTATTTCCTTTTTTTTTATTCTCTCTGCGATCATTTCCCTCCATGTTACAGCTCTTTGAAAATCATCCAAATTTGGGATTGAAATAAATAAATAAATGTGTGTTTGTGGAAAAATGCGAATTTAATTGCAAAAATGTAAATACGTAGAGTAAACGTATAGGTTAAGGCAAATGGGTGTGCCATGTCGACAATGTGTTACAATTGAAGTTTGAACTAGATAATATACACCTGTTTTATTGTATAACATTTGATACAGTTATATGCCTACTAAACTCTAAACATAAATTAATAAAATCCCACACTGAGACAGTAAATATGTTTTTTGACGGTTTATTAAGGAAGCCTGCAAGCCAATGTGGTGATCTTCAAGCGTAGCTTCCTTGAATGAAAATAAACCGAACTAGATCAAGATACCTTACTATAATTCTGCTTCCTTAAAAAGCTACAGGCTTAACAAACATAATTAATTTCCTAAGGTAATTTTCTTGTAACACTTCAATGTAATGTGGAAGTTGCTAAGAATATGGGAAGCAAATCAAAATTTCTACCAACACAGAAAATATGGCTAAAACAGAAAGACTCTTTCATGATACTTCAAAAAAATAGTTTATGTTCAACTTCTATTACCCCACAAAGAGCCTTTCCTTGAAATACCTTAAAATATGACCTTTTAAAAAAATAAAATTGATCTAAATCGGTTTATTTTCATCTCAGGAAGCTATCCTTGAAGTATGATCCATTCTCTTCCGGGCACTATTTTTTAAAATATAGTTATAATTATTTATATTGGGAAGCGTATAAGTAGCTACAACCTTTTATATTTTCTTCAGTTTTTCCGGATTTTTCCGAGATCAAATTTTTCCGTCAGACACAACTCATCTGTTTCATTTATTGAAAATGTTTTTAAAAAACAAAACCTTAACTTATACTATGCGAGTTTCAATTCAGTTCAGTCACACTTTGATTTATAGCACTGTATTATTAAATAAATAACAATATCAACTAATTAATCATTATAGGCAATATCTTCAGTCAATCAGGTATTAAAAATAAGTGGATATTATTTACATGCCCCTTTCTGAAAAGTATGCCAAACCTGTACGCATACAAAACCAGTCAAGGCCCCAGACCAACCAAACCGCGCCGGTATCGATTTTCTTTAATAACACATTTTAACGCGTATTTAATGCCGCAGACAACCTACTTTTTATCTGGAATGTAAATCAATTCAAGTAGGCGAGACACCTTTTCAACAGCGACGCTATTGTGAGCTCACCTTACGTGATTTATTCGTTTCCGATCACGTTCCGAAAATTAATTGGCCAGTTTTTTTCCCCACAAACGTTATTGACATCGCCATTTGCTAGGGAAGACGTGGGCTGCATTGGTGCATCAATGAGATCTCTCTCTCAAGCTGTAGTAAGTTTATTAAGCGAACAATGATTAAAGTTATAAAAGTTATTAATTAAAATATTTTGTGGGAAGCAACTACGCTGCGGACTACTGCCCCGTCCAGCATTGAATTACGCGAACGGTAGCCATAATTTTGTATACGAATTGCAGATTTAAAATCTTGATTGGGAGCACATTAATTCATAATGGTACGAAATTCTGCCTCGTTTTCTGTAGCAATTAATTCGGTTTTAATGAGATTTCCAGTATATCGGCATCGAGTTTCGTCGTACACCTCGTTCACACTCGCGTTACCAACCAGACGATCATCAGAAGAGCTGTTAATTACCCAAACAATTAATTAAGTTTATGTCGCTACCGGGAATATGCTATTATAATGTTCAATTAAAGTTTCATACGGCGTAACAGGTAAATTGGGCTTGTGAGATTTTCATTAATATTAATTAATGCCACGTCATGCGCAGAGTTACTTCTAGTTGACGGACGGGGTTAATTAATTTTTTTTTCAATCGCAGTTCCATAAAATTGTACTTCCTATTTTCAAATTCAAATTAATGAAACTTGTACTTACTGATAAATGACTTGCAAGAATTAAGCTTTCCCAATGTTTTCTAGTCGATGTTCTACAGTTGTCGGAACAGTGAAAAGATTTCGTGTAACTTACTGGAATGAGTGGAAATAAACGCGTTTGTATTGCCGCTTCAATCAATTAATTGAGAAGTGCTCCGAATAAGTAACATAAATCTTCAACTCGATGTATCGCGGCTGAAAAGTTGCGCCATATTAGTTTAGAAAAAGCCTTTGCTGTTATTAACGGGTTTAATTAAAGTGGCAATTTATAAAGAAATCGATCCTACACGTCTTCTCAATGTAACATGTGGCCGATGAAAAGTGAACAGTGTGACACAGTTGTGTATCCATAAATTCTTAACAAGAAACGCCAGAGGCAGTTGTTGTTCTATGCAATTTATAAATCGTTTTATTTAAAACTGAAAATCCCCAATTGACAACCAAGACTGATATCTCGAAAATTGTTCATATTGTGTTCCCAAAAGTTAAGATTTTCTAATGCTATGGATGATCTGAATTCATTTTTTTTAAAGATAATTCCGATTTTTATTATACAATTTAACTCCTTATTAAAGAAAACGCAAATAAAAGAAGTTTTTCTTAATGAGAACGGATTTTTCAATTAGATAAATGCTGGAATGTCCCCCTTCACTACGAAGATAAATTCATAGTTCATCAAATTTCAACAGAATAATAATGTGAACACCGAACAAAAAATGTAATTGAAATGAGTCGTCTAATGAAAACGTCATTCATTAATAACATCTTTTGTGAGACAAATCGTGACGAGATACATACCTACTATGATTTTTATAAAGATATACTCATTTATCAACTGGCTAAAGCGAATTAAATTTTATAGAAATGCATTAAATTTAACGTATATTTAATAACAACTGCTGACTAACACCCAAACAACCGATAGTAAGAATTAGTCAGCATTGCCATAATGTAATAATAACAGTCATATTTTACGGGTTTTGGCACTAGTCCCGACATTCACATTTTACTTAGTCTATAGAGGATTCAAATATTAATTCGTATCTGTTGAGAAAATTTTATGACGGTTTGCGGTTGTAAAACTTTGTGTATATCAATCGCATTTGATCCGATAAACAACTGATAAGGTTATAATATTTGTTATTAGCTGTGTCCCTTCAATTTTTATATTAATAAAACTATTTGAATTTACACACCCCTAATTATAGATTTAGAAGATAGTTTGTGCTTTTTTATGTAAATGACCAACGCTAAAACGAAGGTTTAATTAAGCACCGTTAGATTGTTTATTACAAAAGTCAGTTTTCGCTTCAGCTGACGCAAGTTCACCCGATTCGTTATATCGCTGAAATAAGTTACTGTAATTGGGCCCTAAATGGAACGCGGTCGGTGGCTGCCAAGGCCGCCTCTGATTGTTACTTTACAAGAGATAAAACTCCTTGTACGGCCGGGCAACCAGTCGATTGCGTGTGGGATGAATCAGCACCTGTCGGCGGATCAAACTGGTTTCGAACTCTGAAAGAACTCTTTCTTAAAAAGAACTCCATTGTAGATTCACGATTTATCAGATCTATTATTGACTTGCCGACTGTAGGCACCCTGGGAGATGTGAACATATTGTTTTAGCCACGAATTTTGAAGCAGCCAAAACCACAATGTAGCTTAAAAAAAACATCTCTTGAGAGTTTCCGTCTTTGGTTACTGAACTGCAAGGCAGGGTCGACGTTCGATCCCAGTCCTTGATGAGTCCGCCAAGGTTCTGTAGCGAAATCCGCCTGTAGTGGTTGTCCAATTCCAAAATTCGCTTTTTTTT